CCTGATAATTTATTATATTTACAACTGCATGTTTCAACATTTGAGAAGGTTCTGATAATTTCTGAACAGCAGTTGGACGACTAGTATCAAACTGAGTAGAAGGAATTTCAATTCCTTCTTCAAGTGTTTCTGGAAACATTGCTTCTCGAACACGTTGTGATCTTGTTTGGCTTAATTGTTGATTTATTTCATCAACTTGTTCATTTGTTAATCCTTGACCAAATTCTCTTTGTTCCCAGTCAAACAACATTTGATTAGTATCCATCTCTTCATCTTTACCTGTTACAGATGGAGCCTGTGTATTTGATCCAGAATGGATCCCTGAATCTACATGATATGAATTTTGTTGCCAAATCATTGTCTGTTCTTTTGGATTAGAAACTGGTACTTCGGGTGTTCCGTAATTTCGATGTAACATTGTTCTTCCTACTGCAGTGTTGGAAGGAGTATAACTCATTCTCAATTTCACCTTTAACAATTATTGAATTATTGAATTATAAAAGATTTATAATTTTTGAATTATAAAAAAAAAATATCAGTAGAATTTCCCCGCCGCGAGGGGAATCTCGTAGAATCCGGCGAAGAAAGCGCAAACTCGGGGAAAAACAAGATGGCGAAGCATCATCCCGATTTGATTTTCTGTCGCAAGCAAGCAGGCGTCGCTATTGGACGACTCTGTGAGAAATGCGATGGAAAGTGTGTGATATGTGACTCTTATGTGCGACCCTGCACTCTTGTTCGAATCTGTGATGAGTGTAATTACGGCTCGTATCAGGGACGTTGCGTGATCTGTGGAGGTCCAGGAGTGTCGGATGCCTACTACTGCAAGGAATGCACCATCAAAGAGAAGGATAGAGACGGCTGTCCGAAGATAGTCAACCTAGGAAGCTCGAAGACCGATCTGTTTTATGAGCGGAAAAAGTATGGGTTTAAAAAGAGGTGACGTCAGTGGAATCTCTGCATTTTGCGACTCGTTAAATGCCACAACATATCCTTGCTACAGAAGCACTTACTGGGAAATCTGTAACATAGTTTTGTTCTTAATATCTGCAAATGACAATAAAATTTGATCAATTTGAATTTACTTTCACTGTTTTTCGTACCATTATTCTTAATGACTGACTCATGTTCTACGATATTCAACTTTTGTCTTTTTTCCCTAAAAAAAAAAAACACTTTGTAATTAAAAATTGTCAAATATTTTGCTTTGAGATAAGATGTAAATAATAAACATCAAACTTTACTTTGTTTAATTTTGGTTTTTGGTCCCCAGTGAGGTTTGGGATTATGCTGAAATCTCACAAGTTTCAGAGATCTAGACAACGGCTCCGCTTCCGGATGAGGATCAAAATTTATCGGTGTACTAAAATTGACAAGTTTATAGAAGAGGCTAACAATGAGAACAATTAAAACAAGTTTGTTTTGTTACTTAATGTTTTTCTTGAGTATGGCTTCTCCTGGAGTACCAGTTATATCTCTCTTAACTGGGTTTAGTTTTGCCTAAAATTTTAGTGGATTTTAATAATAGAAAATATTAAAATTACCAAACTATCACTTACCCAACTTCTCACCACGTCCCAGATGACCTCGCTCGGGGCATCCGTCTTTAGTGAATCTCTACAGGTGTGAGATAGAGAAGCTCGGTAGCCGGCATTTAGTAATGCAGACCTGAGAAAATGCATCTATAAATCGAATAAATTTTTTGACGGTTAGAATGACTGAATGTGTTACCTGAATGTGAAGAGACTTGGCTGAGAGGAGGCAATGACAGATAGCAAATGTGGTAAACGATAATACAGAGGACAATTATCTAGTTCCTGTAACAAAAGCTAGTAAGAGGATGGGTCCAGAGTGATGTTTCAGAGTGAAATTCTACTTGCCTCGGAAATGACTGAAAGAATGCCTATCATTCTTTCGGTTGTGCCGTAATTATTCTTTTCACTTTTCACGGTCTTCAAAAGTTCACCAACAAAATCTTTATCGTGGAGATTATCTGTCCAAATTGGTCCCGCCAACTGAATTTGTTTCACTTTTAAGCAAACTTACTCACAAAATACATTTGAATTTAATGGAAATATTACCTGAAACTTGCATCCACAATGCTCACACAATGCTGGAGGTGGTTGCGGCAACACAGGAATTTCCCTTTGGTAAACATTCTTTATTAATTGTCTTAAGTATGCCAACGATTAAAAAAAAATTACTCACTCTCCATCCATGGTCTCTGACAAATGTTGCAAATGAAAGGTTCCACAACCAGTACAATTATAAACCATTGCCAATTTTCTGTTTGTAAAAAACAATTTGTAAAACTTATAATATCAAACCAACTTTTATTAAACAATTATGCATTATTTCTTACTCTATGCTTTTATTTGCATTGTTAGGGCTCTTGCAGACTTTTACGAATACCCTAATGTAGAAATCTGCATGCACGGAGACAAGTGGCATTATGTGACGACCATAGCGATTGGCATGAAGTTCGATACTCCGAAGAATTATTCTTAGTGCCTGGTAAATACAATGTGCATATTTATGCATGTGATATTTTGATAAAAATTACAATTGCTCATCTTACCATCTCGTGGCAGCTCGACATTCGAAGTGAGAGCGATCCGTAAATGGCATGACACTTTCTTCTGAAGCGTCCACACAAATTTGCTGTATCCGTACAAGTCACCAACAGCAGACCTAAAAACTGTTGTTAAATGTTTTGCTCGTCCATTACGATATGAAAATTCATTCTTCCATCTCACCTTTGTCAGAAATGCACTGCACAGCAGCATCAAGAAAAGACGAAGGACTCCCATAAGGATCCAAATCGACTACATGAAACTGATTTTGGAAACTTCTATGCTTATACATCAATAGCCTATGTCAGAAAGAAACAAAACAAAAAAAAAAAAACTTTAACTACTCTTCCAAAAGGAAAGTTGTCTGCCAAATTAATCAATGCACCTTTAACGGTGGTGAAGTTTAAAGAATAAAATTGTTTTTGACAGGGTTAAGAAGCATCTTTGGGCATGGATGGGTGAAAGTGGAACAACAGTGTCAGTAAGGAAGATTGAACACAAACAACAGTTGGGGAAGATGGTAGTGATTGATACAAGAGATTAAGTAGATATCACCAGACAGGAAGAAGGGAGTTGTTCTCCTTGTGTTTAAATGCATCCTATCTTGATATGGAGTGGTGAGAGATGGTTCTTTATGATCTTGGCCAACTGTCAATCTACCTCTGTACAAGGAAGGTGTGCAAAGGAAGAATGTAACAGGCTTTCCTCCTTTAATATCATCTTTACATTCAACGAGCCATCAATCTTGCGGCTTATCTGACATATGTTGTGTTGATGCCAGTCTCTTTGTTTATGGCTGGGATATAACATTCCACTGCTCCATCTGTGGGATCTTTATCAGTCTGTAAGAGGTAGTAGAGTTTGGTTGCATCACTTAACCAAAAATTTTAAGGTTCTTTAAACTTTACCCACTGTTAAATGTGCTTTGATTAATTTAACATCTACGTGTTCAAAACTTGGTAACACAATATTTGTTTTCATGCCAATCAATTCTCAAAACATACATTCAAATGAAAGTATCTTATACACTTACACAGCATCTTCACAATTTGGTATGACAGTATGATCCACTTCATTCAGTTTAATATTTTGTTTAATATCTTCCACCGCAGTTTCGGATCTATCATTTGCTGTCACGGTACTGACTCCCGGAATCTCTTTAGCATATCTGATGGATCGCAATCCAGAAGCTGCCAGAGCTTCTAAAATATGAATTCTGCCCTGTTAAAGAATATTCAGTAAACAGAAATTATCATCACAATAAATTAAGTTAGTGACCTGTTACCTTACTGCCTCCATCTGCAACATCATTATTTAAACATTTAATATTTTTTGGTACATAATTCTTAATAAATTCTTTGATAACGGCAACACTGAAAAATTTCTCGTATAAGATTGTGTTTAAAATATCAAAAATAAGGTAAGATTTTATCTCTATCAAAGGCTGCAATATGCTAACATTTCCCTAATTTGAGCAAAAACCAAAAAGTGCAAATGATCCGGGAAGAATTTTCCTTATTTCCTTTCTAGTTAAGCCGGAAACTTCAAAGAGAGTGCTTAACTGGTTTTTGAGTGTAACCTTATAATAAATTAGTTTTGTTGCACATGCTGCATATTGGACATAAAATACTGCCAAGAAATCGATTTAAGACACATCACGTAAAGAAGTTTGTGTAAGCTGCATCTATTTCAGATTATGTCAAGCAAATTAATGCTCAAAAATCAATATTGTATATTTTTTAAAAATATAAATACAACTGAATTGCTATATAATAAATTCCTACACTAGTATATAGTCTGGGCAGATCACAAATACTAAACAAAATTACAAATTATTTTTATGAAATTTCTTAAGTAATTTATGTTTAGCCTATAATTTTTTAAATTTAATTCTTTTGTGTTTTCTACAGAAATTCCTATTGTAGCATAAAAACTGATGCAACATGATACAAGTGTGCAATGCCATTTGATGCAACACTATTCTATATATAGAAGCATTTGTTTAACAAATAAGATCCCAATTAATTCTAGTTAATCATTTATCAGTTGCTGTGAAAAGAAATGAAACATGTGACTCGAGAAAACGTACTTTGAAATATAGTCTCACACCATCTTCTGATTCTGATTGCAACGAATGTATTCAACATATAATTACGACCAGTAGTTACTTGGCGATAGTTAACTTTATATATATGTGCACACTTTCCATACTATTTACCATCATATGTATTTAAGTCAGGTACAAAATAAGAGCATTTTTCTGTAATATACAGCTACCCGAGCAGACAACCACTCGGTCTAGTAATCCATCCAGTTAGGGTCTTCTTTGGCCTTGAGCCAAAATACATCATCAACAGGAACATAGGAAGTAGAAGCTGAAAGAGAAAAATGTCCCAACCACACCGGGGCCTCTGAGCCGAGCATTTCTTCAACATTTCGGAGCAAGTCCTTTGGAGGGAGAAACCTCCAAACCGAGAGCTGAGCGGATTCGGTTATGCTTGAGCATTACAAATCCCATATGCATGCTACTATGTGACATAGAGGACCCTGTACGGAAACGCTCTTAGTGTACGGGAGTCCTTAACAACACATTAAATAGCATTTATTTGACACGTGGTTAAGGACAGATTTAGGCCAAGTTACAGCTTTGTTTGTCACCATATTTAGCCAAATGATAGTTAACTAACTCCGTATGATGGGGAGATATTGTATAGAACAGGAACTTGCAAATATGCGCAAAGATTAACCCAGCTGCATACTTATAAATCATTAAACCTGTAAACTATTGCTTGAAATAAACAGAAATAGGTAACCTTAAATCCCTATTGAACTCCTGCACAGGATTATAGAATGCATCTTGAGTTAATATTATTTCTGCTTTTCCCTCTCTTATGCGTGTGCCGGGATTTTTTCTCGCCTCCGATTTAACGCAATTATCTGCTTTAACGCAAAAGGAACGCGAAATTAGTAACCGAAATCTTAAAACACGCCACATGGCTTTGAAAACATAGGGAAAAACCCTATCGGTTTATGTCGGAAGATTAAAAAGCAATTTATGCTTAATGACGATTAAATGAAATTTCCATTACAATTTATTTTTTATAAAATAAAATATTAAATATTATTAAGAATATTTTAATTGTTGTGTAAAATAATATTTTTATCAGAGAGAGGTTTTTCGGGAAATTTTCCCCGAGTAATTATAAAATTATATAATATTAGGTGGAAGTTTTCGTAAAAGGTCATCGTTATCTTTTACGATTACATCAAATTAATTCTAGTTATAAAATTAATTAATTAATTACAAAATTTTACGTATTTAATAAAATTAAAACAACTTTAAATCCCTACGGGAGGGAAAAATCTCCCGCAAATATGGCGTAGATGGGAAACACGTGTCCGTACTTACTCGTTCGTTACCGTATATAATTCTACGATAAATGAACTGTTAGGAGATAGAAATATAAATAGAGTTTTAGAAAGTATATTTTAGATTATAAAAATGGAGAAGGACGAGATTATCATCTCGAAAGATGAAGTCAAAGGAGAAGAAGTAAAAGATAATATTGTAATTGACAAAACTCCGAGCACGGTAGTGGAAGAAGGTCAAGCCAAAGTGATTTTTCCTTCGACTAACGACGTTTTTTACAACCCTGTTCAGGAATTCAATCGTGATATGAGGTTAGTGTCATTTTAAATACGTTTTCTCGTTGTATTCTCTTGAAATACAATGAGACAGTCTAGATGAATCACACTATATTAACGCAAACAGGCAGTTATCTCTTTAACAGTTGTTAAACCTTCATTTTACACTAATAACGAAATACAGTTTATACATAGAAATGAATTTAGGGATAATGAAATATATTTGTCCATGTGGAGTACAGTGAAGACGGACTGGACATGTTAGCATCGAAGCCGCACGAATATTGGTTCATTCTTGTCTCCNGCAGTGTTTCTCAAACTTTTTTGTCAGGTGGCACACTTGAAATTATTAAACAAAATTCACGGCACCCCTATTATTATTATTTATTATTTTGCTTTTTACGGTTAGTAAAGATATGAAGGATGAGAAGACTTTGAAAAAAATAAAAGTTTTTTATTAAAGTAAGTTTATTTCCAAACAACACAAAAGCATTCAAAACAAAAGTTATTATTATAAAGGTATCTTTTAATTATTTATTTAATTTAATACTTTAATTCAATTATTTTAAGTAATTTTAATTTAATTATTTAAAAATTTCGCGGCACCCTTGTGGCGTTCTTGCGGCACCCTAAGGTGCCGCGGCACCCGCTTTGAGAACCACTGGTTTAGACTTAAGTTTGGTTAATGGTTGTAGGCTTTGTTTACGTTACACAGACCATGTGCTTGTAGTGTTAATTACATGCTATTTTCTACTAAAATGAAATTATGGCATTTTTATTACATTTCTTAGGACAACACTAGGTGCTATGACTAGTTAGATATAATTTTATAGCATAAATCCATTTTCATTTATAGTTTCCTTGATTTTACATCAGTTTACTCAATCTATATGATGCTTTTCAATTATGGTGAACTCCTGTATAATGTGCTCCCCAGTAATGCAGTGAAAGAATTGCAACTAGTACTCGCACAAACTTTGTTTTGTTGTCCACAGGTATACAGTTTCTTCTTCAACTTCTATGCCTAAGTTTAAACTTGAGTAAAATAGTCTGATAATACATGTCTTGATAATGTGATTTTCTGTAACGCAGAACGTATCCTTCGCATTGTATGGAACTCTGCCATATATTTCTGTTTGGCACTTGCCTTGCTTTTAAATAATGAGAGTTTTGGGTTTTTGTTTCATTTAGATCTAATGCTAGTATACACTCATTTTTAGTAATATTAGGTTTTTATATGCACTGGCAAGTGAAAAAAGGTTGCAGTTTATTTTAAGGTGGTGTAACTCATGCCGTAACCAATTATCAGTTTTTATTGTGTCTGGCATGGCTACTTCTGTCTCTTCTTCCATTTTAAATAGCATTAAAAATTCAAAGTAGTTTCATGTAAATAGAATGCATCATAAATTTCGTACATTAAATTTATTTTATTTCCTTAGGACAAGCATACTTGCTAAATTACAAATGTAAATAAATTAAGAATGATGATACTCGTAATAAGGACATTTGATTATTGTCTGTGCTCTGTTTTAACTATTTTACTTTTAATTGCAGAGAGACGGCTGTCCGAAGATAGTCAACCTAGGAAGCAACTCATTTCATCAATATGTCTTTGAACTGTGTTGTTGCTCAAAGGAATTTTTTGGTTTGTGTAGAACAGTTCTTAAAACCTCTTCAATGGCTGCCAAAATTAATTGTTCTCCTGATAGTATGTGGTTTTCCAGATTTTGCTATAAGTAGCGAGATATTGTAATACGCCAACAAACCATCATTGTTTGTTTGTGACGTTGAAGCAAACATATTATCCCTTGTGGGTCTTGTGAAGTTTTTCTTTAAGTATTTGAAAGTATTTCAAATTNTTCTCTGATAGTATGTGGTTTTCCAGATTTTGCTATAAGTAGCGAGATATTGTAATACGCCAACAAACCATCATTGTTTGTTTGTGACGTTGAAGCAAACATATTATCCCTTGTGGGTCTTGTGAAGTTTTTCTTTAAGTATTTGAAAGTATTTCAAATTCTTTGCCTGTTTTATCAGGGTGACACCTTCTCAAATGATCCTCTGGCTTGGATGGTTTCGTAGCCTCATTATTCAAAACTTTGTTGCATAAAAGGCACATAGGCAATTGTTTGTCCGACAATGATGGAACGAAGCCAAATTTCAAATAATCAACACTGTACTTTCTACATTTCTTTTTAGATTTGGCCATGTTTAGTATCAGTTATCTGTGGACAAAAATTAAGCTATTTAAATATGATAAGACATAGCATTCAAAATTGATCCCTGATGTAAAACTTTATTTTAATTTAATCTTTAGATATCTTTTTTATGTATATAGAGAGGAATCATGTACCATAGAATCTTGTTTTTAAAGATAGAGAAATATATAATACTGATTGCTAAAACTTTGGAAAAAAAAATCTATTAAAGAATATTCCTGTGATTGTGGTTGACTTGAATATTGAATTACTATTACCTCAAGTTATGATCAGTGTATCTATGCAATTGGAGGAACTACAAAAACAAATTATAAAAAAATAATTGACTTATCTCTCAAACAAGATGACATTGATTCGCTTTAATGTGTACCTAACTACCTATTTATATTTTTAAAAATATTTGCTTAACACTTTTCAAAATTCTGAAATGAAATGAACAGTGTTTGTCTCTGACATTCATATTTATAATTGACGAATTAAACAAGTCTGTACAAGTACAACTGGTACAAGTCTGCACTGTCCTTGCAAAGCTCTGGTACAAGTCTGGACAAGTGTTGCCACTTCACACATGCACACAATATATTGATACTAGTATCAAGTGTGCAAGTTTTTACAAGTTACAAGTGTTGCTACCACAAAACAAATAGCCTACTTGCACAATTTTATGAAATATACTTAATTAATATGTAATTGAGTGTATTAAAATAATTGTTCATATATTTGAAGTTTAGACTATTCACAAAAATATAACATTTTTGAGTCTATCTTTTAATCCTTTAATCCAACCACAGAAGTAACAGTTACAATGGTTTTGAAGAATAAACTTCTTTAACAAAGGTAAAAATAGGTAAAAAATTCACAAAGTTAAAAACGATCAAGTGTCAGTCTTTTTATTACAGGATCTGACACCTTTACATTAAAAACCAAAAATAATTCTTCTCACCATACTATTCTTATCCAATTTATAACTGCTTCTAGCCCTCTGGTGGTAGGTTTGAGTTGTCGGATCCACTAATAAAAGGCTGATCGTTTTTAACTTTGTGAAATTTTTACCTATTTTTACCTTTGTTAAAGAAGTTTATTCTTCAAAATCATTGTAACTGTTACTTCTGTGGTTGGATTAAAGGATTAAAAGCTAGACTCAAAAATGTTATATTTTTGTGAATAGTCTAAACTTCAAATATATGAAGAAAAAATAGCCCGAGTCAATGTGAAAATTGTAAAAATAATTGTTTACTATGAAATTTATAATAATTCTTAAACAGTTTGATATACAGTATGTATAAGAAAATAATAACTTAAATTTCAATAACAAAAACATAATAATAATTTTATAAGTAAAATGAAATAGGTTGATTGAAGTCAAGAGAATATTCTAACAATTAGCATTAATTAAAATTCAAAGCAATTAAGTTGTTGGTTTGACCTGTCGTCGGAAAAAGATCTCATCATCAGTCTCGGAATTTTCCCATGATTAAAGCATGGAGTCATAGTTTTCCAAATCTAGCTCCAAATCTTCATGCTTCATAATCATTTATGTTTTAAAAATTTTTACTTCATAGGTAATTTATATGTCTATTATAAGAAAGTATTATGTAACTACATAACAACTTAATATCTGTGTTATGTGAATTATTCGATTTATGGAAAGCCAAAATTTTGGTCACGACCTGATTAAGTGGGATCCATTCTCGTGAATCCCCATTTACATCTCGTGCATCCCCAATGTTTGTTTTTGCTGACATGGACCCCTTGCAGTTCAGAGTCGACCCCTAGGGGTTGATATAGACCACTTTGGTTTTATTCGTTTAGACTTAAGTTTGGTTAATGGTTGTAGGCTTTGTTTACGTTACACAGACCATGTGCTTGTAGTGTTAATTACATGCTATTTTCTACTAAAATGAAATTATGGCATTTTTATTACATTTCTTAGGACAACACTAGGTGCTATGACTAGTTAGATATAATTTTATAGCATAAATCCATTTTCATTTATAGTTTCCTTGATTTTACATCAGTTTACTCAATCTATATGATGCTTTTCAATTATGGTGAACTCCTGTATAATGTGCTCCCCAGTAATGCAGTGAAAGAATTGCAACTAGTACTCGCACAAACTTTGTTTTGTTGTCCACAGGTATACAGTTTCTTCTTCAACTTCTATGCCTAAGTTTAAACTTGAGTAAAATAGTCTGATAATACATGTCTTGATAATGTGATTTTCTGTAACGCAGAACGTATCCTTCGCATTGTATGGAACTCTGCCATATATTTCTGTTTGGCACTTGCCTTGCTTTTAAATAATGAGAGTTTTGGGTTTTTGTTTCATTTAGATCTAATGCTAGTATACACTCATTTTTAGTAATATTAGGTTTTTATATGCACTGGCAAGTGAAAAAAGGTTGCAGTTTATTTTAAGGTGGTGTAACTCATGCCGTAACCAATTATCAGTTTTTATTGTGTCTGGCATGGCTACTTCTGTCTCTTCTTCCATTTTAAATAGCATTAAAAATTCAAAGTAGTTTCATGTAAATAGAATGCATCATAAATTTCGTACATTAAATTTATTTTATTTCCTTAGGACAAGCATACTTGCTAAATTACAAATGTAAATAAATTAAGAATGATGATACTCGTAATAAGGACATTTGATTATTGTCTGTGCTCTGTTTTAACTATTTTACTTTTAATTGCAGAGAGACGGCTGTCCGAAGATAGTCAACCTAGGAAGCTCGAAGACCGATCTGTTTTATGAGCGGAAAAAGTATGGGTTTAAAAAGAGGTGACGTCAGTGGAATCTCTGCATTTTGCGACTCGTTAAATGCCACAACATATCCTTGCTACAGAAGCACTTACTGGGAAATCTGTAACATAGTTTTGTTCTTAATATCTGCAAATGACAATAAAATTTGATCAATTTGAATTTACTTTCACTGTTTTTCGTACCATTATTCTTAATGACTGACTCATGTTCTACGATATTCAACTTTTGTCTTTTTTCCCTAAAAAAAAAAAACACTTTGTAATTAAAAATTGTCAAATATTTTGCTTTGAGATAAGATGTAAATAATAAACATCAAACTTTACTTTGTTTAATTTTGGTTTTTGGTCCCCAGTGAGGTTTGGGATTATGCTGAAATCTCACAAGTTTCAGAGATCTAGACAACGGCTCCGCTTCCGGATGAGGATCAAAATTTATCGGTGTACTAAAATTGACAAGTTTATAGAAGAGGCTAACAATGAGAACAATTAAAACAAGTTTGTTTTGTTACTTAATGTTTTTCTTGAGTATGGCTTCTCCTGGAGTACCAGTTATATCTCTCTTAACTGGGTTTAGTTTTGCCTAAAATTTTAGTGGATTTTAATAATAGAAAATATTAAAATTACCAAACTATCACTTACCCAACTTCTCACCACGTCCCAGATGACCTCGCTCGGGGCATCCGTCTTTAGTGAATCTCTACAGGTGTGAGATAGAGAAGCTCGGTAGCCGGCATTTAGTAATGCAGACCTGAGAAAATGCATCTATAAATCGAATAAATTTTTTGACGGTTAGAATGACTGAATGTGTTACCTGAATGTGAAGAGACTTGGCTGAGAGGAGGCAATGACAGATAGCAAATGTGGTAAACGATAATACAGAGGACAATTATCTAGTTCCTGTAACAAAAGCTAGTAAGAGGATGGGTCCAGAGTGATGTTTCAGAGTGAAATTCTACTTGCCTCGGAAATGACTGAAAGAATGCCTATCATTCTTTCGGTTGTGCCGTAATTATTCTTTTCACTTTTCACGGTCTTCAAAAGTTCACCAACAAAATCTTTATCGTGGAGATTATCTGTCCAAATTGGTCCCGCCAACTGAATTTGTTTCACTTTTAAGCAAACTTACTCACAAAATACATTTGAATTTAATGGAAATATTACCTGAAACTTGCATCCACAATGCTCACACAATGCTGGAGGTGGTTGCGGCAACACAGGAATTTCCCTTTGGTAAACATTCTTTATTAATTGTCTTAAGTATGCCAACGATTAAAAAAAAATTACTCACTCTCCATCCATGGTCTCTGACAAATGTTGCAAATGAAAGGTTCCACAACCAGTGCAATTATAAACCATTGCCAATTTTCTGTTTGTAAAAAACAATTTGTAAAACTTATAATATCAAACCAACTTTTATTAAACAATTATGCATTATTTCTTACTCTATGCTTTTATTTGCATTGTTAGGGCTCTTGCAGACTTTTACGAATACCCTAATGTAGAAATCTGCATGCACGGAGACAAGTGGCATTATGTGACGACCATAGCGATTGGCATGAAGTTCGATACTCCGAAGAATTATTCTTAGTGCCTGGTAAATACAATGTGCATATTTATGCATGTGATATTTTGATAAAAATTACAATTGCTCATCTTACCATCTCGTGGCAGCTCGACATTCGAAGTGAGAGCGATCCGTAAATGGCATGACACTTTCTTCTGAAGCGTCCACACAAATTTGCTGTATCCGTACAAGTCACCAACAGCAGACCTAAAAACTGTTGTTAAATGTTTTGCTCGTCCATTACGATATGAAAATTCATTCTTCCATCTCACCTTTGTCAGAAATGCACTGCACAGCAGCATCAAGAAAAGACGAAGGACTCCCATAAGGATCCAAATCGACTACATGAAACTGATTTTGGAAACTTCTATGCTTATACATCAATAGCCTATGTCAGAAAGAAACAAAACAAAAAAAAAAAAACTTTAACTACTCTTCCAAAAGGAAAGTTGTCTGCCAAATTAATCAATGCACCTTTAACGGTGGTGAAGTTTAAAGAATAAAATTGTTTTTGACAGGGTTAAGAAGCATCTTTGGGCATGGATGGGTGAAAGTGGAACAACAGTGTCAGTAAGGAAGATTGAACACAAACAACAGTTGGGGAAGATGGTAGTGATTGATACAAGAGATTAAGTAGATATCACCAGACAGGAAGAAGGGAGTTGTTCTCCTTGTGTTTAAATGCATCCTATCTTGATATGGAGTGGTGAGAGATGGTTCTTTATGATCTTGGCCAACTGTCAATCTACCTCTGTACAAGGAAGGTGTGCAAAGGAAGAATGTAACAGGCTTTCCTCCTTTAATATCATCTTTACATTCAACGAGCCATCAATCTTGCGGCTTATCTGACATATGTTGTGTTGATGCCAGTCTCTTTGTTTATGGCTGGGATATAACATTCCACTGCTCCATCTGTGGGATCTTTATCAGTCTGTAAGAGGTAGTAGAGTTTGGTTGCATCACTTAACCAAAAATTTTAAGGTTCTTTAAACTTTACCCACTGTTAAATGTGCTTTGATTAATTTAACATCTACGTGTTCAAAACTTGGTAACACAATATTTGTTTTCATGCCAATCAATTCTCAAAACATACATTCAAATGAAAGTATCTTATACACTTACACAGCATCTTCACAATTTGGTATGACAGTATGATCCACTTCATTCAGTTTAATATTTTGTTTAATATCTTCCACCGCAGTTTCGGATCTATCATTTGCTGTCACGGTACTGACTCCCGGAATCTCTTTAGCATATCTGATGGATCGCAATCCAGAAGCTGCCAGAGCTTCTAAAATATGAATTCTGCCCTGTTAAAGAATATTCAGTAAACAGAAATTATCATCACAATAAATTAAGTTAGTGACCTGTTACCTTACTGCCTCCATCTGCAACATCATTATTTAAACATTTAATATTTTTTGGTACATAATTCTTAATAAATTCTTTGATAACGGCAACACTGAAAAATTTCTCGTATAAGATTGTGTTTAAAATATCAAAAATAAGGTAAGATTTTATCTCTATCAAAGGCTGCAATATGCTAACATTTCCCTAATTTGAGCAAAAACCAAAAAGTGCAAATGATCCGGGAAGAATTTTCCTTATTTCCTTTCTAGTTAAGCCGGAAACTTCAAAGAGAGTGCTTAACTGGTTTTTGAGTGTAACCTTATAATAAATTAGTTTTGTTGCACATGCTGCATATTGGACATAAAATACTGCCAAGAAATCGATTTAAGACACATCACGTAAAGAAGTTTGTGTAAGCTGCATCTATTTCAGATTATGTCAAGCAAATTAATGCTCAAAAATCAATATTGTATATTTTTTAAAAATATAAATACAACTGAATTGCTATATAATAAATTCCTACACTAGTATATAGTCTGGGCAGATCACAAATACTAAACAAAATTACAAATTATTTTTATGAAATTTCTTAAGTAATTTATGTTTAGCCTATAATTTTTTAAATTTAATTCTTTTGTGTTTTCTACAGAAATTCCTATTGTAGCATAAAAACTGATGCAACATGATACAAGTGTGCAATGCCATTTGATGCAACACTATTCTATATATAGAAGCATTTGTTTAACAAATAAGATCCCAATTAATTCTAGTTAATCATTTATCAGTTGCTGTGAAAAGAAATGAAACATGTGACTCGAGAAAACGTACTTTGAAATATAGTCTCACACCATCTTCTGATTCTGATTGCAACGAATGTATTCAACATATAATTACGACCAGTAGTTACTTGGCGATAGTTAACTTTATATATATGTGCACACTTTCCATACTATTTACCATCATATGTATTTAAGTCAGGTACAAAATAAGAGCATTTTTCTGTAATATACAGCTACCCGAGCAGACAACCACTCGGTCTAGTAATCCATCCAGTTAGGGTCTTCTTTGGCCTTGAGCCAAAATACATCATCAACAGGAACATAGGAAGTAGAAGCTGAAAGAGAAAAATGTCCCAACCACACCGGGGCCTCTGAGCCGAGCATTTCTTCAACATTTCGGAGCAAGTCCTTTGGAGGGAGAAACCTCCAAACCGAGAGCTGAGCGGATTCGGTTATGCTTGAGCATTACAAATCCCATATGCATGCTACTATGTGACATAGAGGACCCTGTACGGAAACGCTCTTAGTGTACGGGAGTCCTTAACAACACATTAAATAGCATTTATTTGACACGTGGTTAAGGACAGATTTAGGCCAAGTTACAGCTTTGTTTGTCACCATATTTAGCCAAATGATAGTTAACTAACTCCGTATGATGGGGAGATATTGTATAGAACAGGAACTTGCAAATATGCGCAAAGATTAACCCAGCTGCATACTTATAAATCATTAAACCTGTAAACTATTGCTTGAAATAAACAGAAATAGGTAACCTTAAATCCCTATTGAACTCCTGCACAGGATTATAGAATGCATCTTGAGTTAATATTATTTCTGCTTTTCCCTCTCTTATGCGTGTGCCGGGATTTTTTCTCGCCTCCGATTTAACGCAATTATCTGCTTTAACGCAAAAGGAACGCGAAATTAGTAACCGAAATCTTAAAACACGCCACATGGCTTTGAAAACATAGGGAAAAACCCTATCGGTTTATGTCGGAAGATTAAAAAGCAATTTATGCTTAATGACGATTAAATGAAATTTCCATTACAATTTATTTTTTATAAAATAAAATATTAAATATTATTAAGAATATTTTAATTGTTGTGTAAAATAATATTTTTATCAGAGAGAGGTTTTTCGGGAAATTTTCCCCGAGTAATTATAAAATTATATAATATTAGGTGGAAGTTTTCGTAAAAGGTCATCGTTATCTTTTACGATTACATCAAATTAATTCTAGTTATAAAATTAATTAATTAATTACAAAATTTTACGTATTTAATAAAATTAAAACAACTTTAAATCCCTACGGGAGGGAAAAATCTCCCGCAAATATGGCGTAGATGGGAAACACGTGTCCGTACTTACTCGTTCGTTACCGTATATAATTCTACGATAAATGAACTGTTAGGAGATAGAAATATAAATAGAGTTTTAGAAAGTATATTTTAGATTATAAAAATGGAGAAGGACGAGATTATCATCTCGAAAGATGAAGTCAAAGGAGAAGAAGTAAAAGATAATATTGTAATTGACAAAACTCCGAGCACGGTAGTGGAAGAAGGTCAAGCCAAAGTGATTTTTCCTTCGACTAACGACGTTTTTTACAACCCTGTTCAGGAATTCAATCGTGATATGAGGTTAGTGTCATTTTAAATACGTTTTCTCGTTGTATTCTCTTGAAATACAATGAGACAGTCTAGATGAATCACACTATATTAACGCAAACAGGCAGTTATCTCTTTAACAGTTGTTAAACCTTCATTTTACACTAATAACGAAATACAGTTTATACATAGAAATGAATTTAGGGATAATGAAATATATTTGTCCATGTGGAGTACAGTGAAGACGGACTGGACATGTTAGCATCGAAGCCGCACGAATATTGGTTCATTCTTGTCTCCTGGGACACTTCCCATTGCATTGTTACGTCTAGGGTCAAACTGATCGTTGGTGTGTGATGATGGCTGCTGCGGTACACTCTCCCGAGTGCTAATGTTATCAGAAATGTGTGGGAAGCATACCTATTTTCTGGAACTGTTGGTTTATAAGTTTCTGTCTTCTACTAATACTTGATTAGTTGTGATGATGTGTTATCATTGATGGTTACACTTCTTTTAAAAAAGCACATGACATTTAGCCTATCTGTCAATGTGAACACTTCTTTGATGTGTGTATGTATTTTATAAACTTTATCTGCCATTATAGTGTGGGGAAGAATTTGTGGTATGGCAGTCGTAATGGGCTTCTTGTGGTATCATTCCTGATGAATATGTGTACCATGTTTTAAATTGTTTGATTAAGTTGTAACCTGTTGATGGTCACTGAAGATGATCAAAAAAGTAAATCTATGCCAATACGTAAGTCAATTATTTTATTGAGAAATCGAAGTAAAATGATGTCCGGAGTTATGTAAGCTGTGACTAGTGTTGCCACTTTTTCAAAATTGCTGATCCGGATGGCAGGTCAGCTTTGTTCGAACAGAAGTTCTTGATGTATGCGCAATGTCATTTTACAATGTGAAGAATAATGTGCTAGATAACTTACCTGTAGACCTGTATGATTGTATATGAAAGATAAAAAAAAAACGGTCTACAGGCTGTGTGCCACATGTAAACAGACAAACATGGTAGAATTGCAGATGAGTTTCAATGAGTGTGAGTTCTTTTGCTGTTAAAATAGTGTAAATTTGTAAAAATATTTGCAAGAACTTTGTTTCATGGTAATTTCACAATTTCTACGAAATTCCCGGACAAAATTAATAGTTCACCCAGACAGTTAGTCAATTCCCAGACTGTACGGGTGAAAACTGGATGGGTTGTAACACTACCTATGACTTACATAAATACAAACATAAACATTGAATAACCCGATCTTTAAGATTAACGTTAATGTGGCCCGAAATAATCCAGCAATTGTTTGACTTAAGTAAATTTGCAGTTACATAAATGTATGTAAATCAAAAAAGATAATAAAAATTCAGAGAATTAATTACTAGGGTTATTAATTCTCTGAATTTTTTCTTGGCACTAGTGCATGTGAATACTTCTGTGGTTCAGTGCAGCTGTATTTGTACATGGACATTTTTTATATGAACGTTTTGTTTTATGTTTATATTTTTTTTTCGTACTTTTATAACTTATATCAGAATAAATACTGCCACATGATGATTCTCTTATTACGGTTATGAAAAAATAGTTTCCTTATAATATTTTGTATAACATTGCGGTTTCTTATGAAATTACATTTAAGTAATTTACAAATTCAACTTGCACAGAATTCAAGTTAGATAATGGACCCAAAAAGTAACCCTTAAGCCATGGTCACACCATGCGATTTCCAGCCGTGCAGGTGACTGCAATCGCAATGGCTGTCCTCATTAACTAGTAAACCCCTTTGAAAACAGGCGCGATACAACCGCAACTAGAAACAAAAAGTTGGTTCTACTTGCACTGATTGCAAACATGCATCCAATCAGAAAACATTTTTGTGCATGTCTTATGGTGGCAACATCAAAAATAGTTCATTATCGTGTGCAGAAAACAAGATGATGGATAAGTTTGCAGAATCCAGATTAATCAAGCTAATTCAGTCTCACAAATGCTTGTGTGACTTTAATTCTTTGTTTTATTGAAGAAAAGACAAAAGAGTGCAGGCATGGTGTGAGATAAGTGAAAATCTCAGCATTGATTGTAAGTACCATTTTTAGATATCTGAATATAAAATGTTGATTGTTTTTAGTTTGGTAACAACAATATTGTTTTAAATATAGTTAAAGAACTAAGTAAAAAGTTCTTTCATCTAAGAACAATGTTTCTTCAAATAAAAAAAAGTAGATGACAGCAAGCACAGTGGATGCGGCGAGAATGAAATATATAAACCAACGTGGGAACATTAGTCGTCCCTCAGTTTTCTTTTAAATTCTTATAAGAAAATGATGTCACCATTATCGTCACACGATGTAATTATATGTTATATATACAAGGGGGTTTTTTCAAGCTATGATGGTCCATAAAACAAAGGCAAGTATAAATAACAAAATGAATTTATTATCAAAAGTTAGGTACAAACATGGTTACTTTTCAACATAATCACCATGAAGATTGAGAAATTTGTCATATCAGTGGATGAGCTTTTCCATCCCCTTGTCATAGAATGTTGCTGCCAGTGAATTGAGATGGCCTTAACAATGTTGTTTTGAAGATTGTCGTTAGTCTCAAACATCTGCCCTGCTAGCCATGTTTTCAGTTTAGGAAAGAGGTGGAAGTCTTCACACATTAAAAAAAGTTTTAAGCTGGATGGAAGTCTGAAAGGTGGAGGTCTTCACCACCTTTAAACCCAGCGTATAGTACCTGATTTAGCGCCAAGCGACTTCCACTTCTTTCCTGAACAGGAAAAGTGACTAGGAGGGCAGAGGTTCGAGACTAATGATGATCTTCAAAAAAAAGTTAGGGCCATCTCAAGTCATTGGCGGCAACATTCTATGACAAGGGGATGGAAAAGCTTGTCCACAGATATGACAAATGCCTCAATCTTCACAGTGATAATGTCAAAAAATTGTTTGTACCTAACTTTTGGTAATAAATTCATTTTGTTATTTACACTTGTCTTTTTTTTATGGAATATCGGAGCTTGAAAAATACAGCCTATGTATTTTATATATTGAAGTAGATAAAAACTAATTAAATATAGCCTATTTTTATTTATAGTTAAATGATACATAACCGTCTACTTCTGGCTGCATGTCTGAGGCAGAAACAGATAGAATTATCAATGTAAATATCGATGTACTGTACATAATGATGAAATGTTTAATGAAAGCATTTCGTTATCACCATGCACATTTGATAGTCCACAGCCACCAAAAAAGAAAAAAGATGGCAGAGAAGGACAAAGAAAATTTTAATGAATCTACAATGAATGTAAATTATTCAAAATGTATAATTTATTTATTAAAGTTTACACCACAGAGTGAACAACTGAAAAACTCAATAATTTTGAGTAAGTGTTCACTTTAGAAACTGATACTATAAATATTACACAAATACAAAGAAGACTATTAAATAAATAATATAAGACTGAAAACTTGATTTTCCTTTTCATTTAAGATTGTTTTTTAAATATTTTTTCAGGCTCTGAGTCATTGAACCAAAGAAGGATGTGTTCGATGAATTTGGCAGTCTTCTAGCTGCCAAACTAAGAACCCTTCCCAAGAAAAATGCTTTGGACTTACAACTGAAAATATTTTCTCTCATTATGGAGGAAGAAAAAATATTCTTAATAGTACTTAATTAATAAAAATTTTTCACTTATTGTATATTTCTTAACTCAAAACAGTATATCATTTATAATGAAGACTTGTAATTATAATAATTACAAACTTTTTAAAATAATTTTACATTTCATATTTATTATTTAATAATTTTATAAACAAATTTCATTTCATTGCCATTCTACTTGGTCTACAGTATTAAAATAAGTTTTGAATTCATCACAGATTGCTTTTGCTACTGATGGATTTAAATTACGACTGCTTTCCAAGGATGTAAGCTGTTAATGATATTGTTCTCCAAAGTTGTCACCGGTAACAGCTGTAAGATAAGATTTTATTTTTCTTTCTCAAAAATCATCTTAACATGTTGTGAAGAACACAACATGTTAGGATGATTTTTGCAGCCTTATCCGGGATAATAAAATCACTGTAGAGAAGACTTGCCAAACAGAAGAGAGCATGCCAAATGCATTTTCAACAACTCTCCTTGCTCTTGATAATCTAACAATAATTTCAATTTGAATTAAATTAAATAGTTTTTATGACTTATAACACTAATAATAATAATAATAATAATAAACTGTTGTAAATAATTAATATTAAATAGCTCTTTTACCTATAATTGAAGATGGATTTCTCAGCTGTCAACTGTTTTATTGGGTAAGGCCTCATTACTCATGAAGACACCAATTCCTTCATCTGTAACAAATACATATGGAATTGGCTGTCCTCCACTTTGAAGCGGACTAGCTGGTGGAAAGTTTAACTTTCGATCATCGATGACATTCTTCAGATTTGATGCATTCAAAATCAAAGAATCACTTTGTCTCTCATTAGTGCCTGCATCCAGATATATAAATGAAAGATCTGCATGCATCATTGCCATCATAACCACACTATAAAATCCTTATTTGGAAAAAATAGAACTTTAGCAAACAGAATAACTGAGTACAACCTTAAATAACTGACTAATAACAGAAATACTACCTTTGTAGTTATAATAAGCAGATCAGATTGCTTAGGACATATGATTTGTACATGTTTTCCATCTATTGCACCAAGGCAATGAGGAAATTGCCACCTTTCATCAAATTTTTTAGCAATATCTTCCCATTCACATACTGTAGATTGTACCTTAGAAAAATAAACAATTTTAAATTAATGTAGCCAATATAATAATAATGTTAAAAATCAAAACAATATGAAGCTTTTTAAGTGCACTTAAAATAAATTTTTTCTGCACAGTTTTTTTCAAATTAACAATATTGACAAATTAACAATACCTTGTGTCGTATATTTGTCAATGTATCTTGATTATAACATTTGTATTAACTTAGTTTCAATACATTTAAATGCGGTATTTGATGTAGGTCAAATCTGAATTTATGAGTTATTGTTAGATTTATTTTAAAAGGTTTGGTTACTTTTAATAATATACAATTGAATAAAATAAATGCTTATATTAAAGAAAAAATATATTGATTAAAAATTAAAATCATTCAAGCTTTCCTGTGAACAACACTTATCCTCAAATATTCACTTTTATAAGATTGATAAATAGCATCAAAAACTTCTGGGTTAATGATTGATATTGAATTATGGGCAGCACTGTGGAGTCACGTAAAAATCTGCCGACCCCGACTTTTCCTTACCATCCAACTCCAACACCGATCAGGGACGGACTTGTTACCGAAAGAGACCCGGAAATTCTGATGTCATCACGTGACCTCAGAATAAAAGATTCAATAAATAGAGTTCTAATAAAGATAGAACGTAGAAACTTTTTATTCCAAAGCTAAAATACTCCTCTAAGTAATGACACGGTCAATATATAAATATGTATTCGATAATTTTTACTTTTTTACTCTGTTATATATAACAGATGGAAAGTATGGTGCTCAGTCAAAAAATGACCCCTCCCAAATTTTTACAATTTTGGACTCAGGACATCTTGAAATTTTGAGATATGCAAAAGATTCAAAATTTTTTTCTATATGTGTGGATGTTATACTGTGTGTGTGGGGCATGATTTGTTCACCCCGTTTCAAGCCTAATAATTTCTGTGGTCTGAGTAGTTAGAATCGGAGTCAGGAGGTTTAACACAGGAGTTAGTTATTAAGCGTCAAGGTGGTTGAACTAAATCGTGTACCCATGCACATTCTAACATCTTAGGCTAGAACATCTTAACGGGTTTTACTCTACTATTATAAAATGGCTAAAAAGCTTACTTTGAGGGTAGAGACAGTTTTATTTATTTATTTTTTTTAATTTTGAATGCTAATAACGAGTAAAATATTCATTAATTAAGAGCTATGACATATGACCACTTTTATGTCTTCCTCCAGCCGATCTTTAATTAAGAACCAAAATTTAACAGTATTAATGCCATTTTATACTCAAGCTACAGTGCCATATTTTGTTTATTAAACTTTACCCATTCTGAGATATTGTTTAATATCTCAGAACAGAAAATAAAGAAATTAAACAAATTAGATGCCAACACACATGGGTGCAAATTTTTCTCCTTTTATTGACTCTTTTGAGGGGTTCTGGAGGTCTCCAAAAATTTAATTTAAAAAAAAAAAAAAAAAAAAAAAAAGTTGGCAGGTCAAATTCGACGCGATTCCAATACTTTTCCGTTTTATATACATAACAAGTCGGGAAGTAAAAAGGAGTCAGAGTCCGCAGATTTTTTGACGACTCCGACTCTGACTCTACAGCCTTGATTATGGGCCACTCTAAATTGGTATGCCAAACTACGAAATGTTTCACCTAAATTATATATGAACCATTTTAATCTCAAAATTGTATAAAATATAAATTAAATACAAAATAGATATTTTTCTTACTAGTCACTAAATAATGAAGTGTCAATGAAAGATATTCTCTGAGTGAAATAGAACTTTGAAGATGTGTATCTTCTTTAGCTATTATGGGTGTTATCCTCCTTAATTAAAATACTTTGGAAAGTATTCGTATCTATATGGATATATCACCTGTAATCTTTGGCATCTGAAAGCCTTAATTCATTCATCAGCTGGTGGAAGCACGATTGTTTAGCCCATTGATTTTCATTTTGACAAGTTTTAACCCAGCATGAACATTTCCTCTAATTTTTCTCTTCATATATTCTTACCAGCTGTAAGAAAATTATCTGCTTTTTTCTTTTATTCATTCTAGAAAAGGAACTGCTTGCCATTTTAATAAGAAAAGTGGCTAAAATTCTGTAAATACTCTGAAGTAGAATGTAAAATGTTGGTAAACTCACAAAAGTAGTCAAAAACAAGCTACTGTAATTTTATTGGTTTATTATAGGGTCATGTGTTTTTGAGTTGCAATGCCAGTGAACAATTTATGACCACAAGAAGACACGCGCGACTTGTGCTTGTTGCAGTTGTGGTTGCCCACACAGCTGGAAATCGCTTGGTGTGACCACAGCTTTACATAAGTCGAGGTGTTACTGTAAATAATACATTTGATCAAAAGAGATAAATCTATGACACACATACATTAATACATAATGGAATTTGTTTTTTCTCATGGTTCATCATCATCATTATTTATTTATTTTTTCAAGTATTCTAAAAAATAAATTTTGCTTTCTTTATAGCATTGCAGTTATCAAAGAATTTAGTAAATCGTTTTCTCTTAAAAAAGCAGAAAACCATGTAAATGACGTCAAGGCTGATAATGATTCTGATTTCCAGGTATATATATATATATATATATATATGTTTTTGCTGTCAGATTACTTTGTTATTAAATTGCCATTATAAAATTTATTTTGTGTTCTAGGGAAAGCTTTATATTTTGGAAGCTCTGGCTGCATCCGGATTGAGATCGATCAGGTATGCAAAAGAAATACCAGATGTGAAGAGTATCGTGGCAAACGATTACTCCATTCAGGCGGTCGAGAGCATGAAAACAAATGTGTGGCTCAACAAGGTGGAACACCTAGTTTCTCCGCATCGTGAAGAAGCGTCGTATGATTTTTGCTTTACTTATATTTTTCAATATTTATATGAGTTAATTTGTGTGAATCTTTTCTGCATTTGAGTGTATGGACTGGTTGTATCATCTGTTACTATTAAGATTTATAAATTTCTTCTCCAAACCAAAAAACCATTGTCCGCAAAGATGTGGCCGAATGGCTTTATCAGATTATTCATACTCGATTCTGGGTTCTTAGAGCAGTAGTCTGCCATCTTGGTTATTTGGCCATTGCATCTCGGTATAATCTTATGACCATTCTTGATGATCATAAGATTATAGTGAGTTCTATTGAGTCATTTCCAACTTCTGGTAACTCTGAGCAATGCCCTCCAGTAAGATCTGTCCTGGTCAAATCTTGAAACTCCTGTAATCTAGAATGGGCTTCAAACCTGCAACTGTTGCTTACAATGCAGATATATTACCAGTTACACTATTTGAATCTCTGTCCTACCTTCATTTTTAGACCAACAAAACCATACAGGTTAATTTCTGATAAGCAAGCAATTAATTTGTGTGATTCATTGATATGTATGATCTGTATGATTAGTTAATTAATACAGTTAATTAATTGGTAATGCCTTTTATATAAACAATTAGCTTAAAAAATTATTAATGTTTTTTTATTTTTAGATTATTAATGTATCAACACAGGAACGTTCATAGGCGTTTCCACGTAATTGATCTAGATCCCTACGGAAGTCCCGCGCCTTTCCTTGATGCAGCCGTGCAGTGCGTTGCCGATGGCGGTGAGAAAACTTACTTCCTGATTTATCGCAGTAGAATTTCTGCCATTTATTCCTCTTATATAATTCTGTAGGTTTGTTACTCGTTACCTGTACGGATATGGCCATCCTCTGTGGCAATCACGGCGAGACGTGCCATGCTAAATACGGTGCCACCTCTTTAAAAATTAAATGCTGTCATGAAATGGTTAATTTACAGTTACTTTATTAGTTGCTTGAGTGTTTGAAAGATAAATAGCAAAACTATTTTTCATTGTAATTCAGGCATTAAGGATAATTCTACAGAGTATCGAGTCTCATGCCAATCGATATGGACGTTACATAGTGCCTTTACTCTCGCTCAGCATAGATTTCTACGTTAGGGTATTTGTTAAAGTCTACACAAGTCCTAATGAAGTGAAGAAATCTATAAAGTAAGTGTACAAATTTTGTTACTTTTGTGTTGGATTTATACAGGGAGAATGCTACCATTTTTAAATTATTGTAATTATGTTAATTATTATTCAAGAATGTTGTAATATATGTTAAAACATTAAAAATCTGTTCCAAGTTTTACATTTGTCCGTTACAGTTTTTCAATGCATGCACTTTGTGTAGCATGCATCTAACTGATACTCAAATTCTTCCTATGCTTTCCTACAGCTTATTTGTTATCACCCCTCATACTGTGGCCTCAGTTTTATGGTAGATTACTTGTGTTGTGCAGTGATGAGTGATTCCAACTTTGCAAACTGCAGAAGCAAAACACCTCTGTTGCAGAGTTGCTATTTTCGTTTTATGGCACTTTCTTAAGGTAGTAGATGATGAGATGTTTGGATACCAATGAGAGATGAAACTTGCATGATTTTTCTGTCAATTGGTGTGTCAAATGCTTCTCTGATAATATCATGGTTATAGTAATTTAAATGGTAGCATTTGTTTTGGAAGACCCTATATTAAACATAAATATGTTCACTTTCAGTAAGTTGGCAATGGTTTATAAGTGTGTAGGATGTGAAACATTCCATCTGCAACCATTAGGAAAGTCCCAAAATAAAGAGTGAGTATTACTGTTCTATTTTTTGTGTATTATAGAACATCTGCATGATTTTTTCTTTTTTCTGCAAGTAAAATTTCTCCAGCTCATGGACCGCCTGTCAACATGAATTGTGACAACTGTGGACAAAGACATCAGGTATTAAAAGCTTTTAGTTTAATAAGCATTACATTTATATTAGAATAATGTGTTTTGTACTTCATAGCTAGGTGGGCCAATATGGATGAGCGAGCTTCACGATCGAGATTTTGTCAAAGATTTAATAAAATGTACAGAAGAAGATTTGAACTGTTACGGTACCAGCAGGAGAATGATTGGAGTTCTTAATGTAATAGCTGAAGTAAGTTTTTTAAAAATTTAAAAGTTTTAAAAAATCAAATCTTATTTAGATCTTATTAAAGTTGCAGAATTTAAGATTTACAGTTTATGCTTCTGTAGGAATTGGAAAACTGCCCGCTTTATTACACAATTTCGGATCTTTGTGCTATTGTTCATTCTGTAACACCAAGTATATTAGAAGTCAGGTAAATGTTTTTTGTATAACCTATACTACATTTGTATCCAAAATTTAAGGACTTTTTTAGTCTTTTACAAGTCATATTGCAACCTGTAAATGGCTAAAACACAATGAATGCAGCTAAATCTGTCAGTAAATTTATTCTCATGAAACTAAGCACAATACAAATAAATATATGTCAAGTTGATATGGTCTGCTGAACAGTAGTGCAGTTCTCAAACTATTTTGGCATACTGCATACCAAGAGTTCTTGTGGTAATTTCACTCGTTCTTCCTTTAGAGCATGGATTAGTTTTAGGGTACACTTTGCTAATGAATTACATTCAGAAATGCATCTTCCTATGGTATCCTAAACATATTCTATTCAATTCAGTCTTGAAGAAGCATATTGGACAGTTTATGTGATGATTATCCTGTTTCTCCACTAGATCATCCTCCACTATGGTGTGGTTGGACATCGTTGTCCATGAAAATAAATTCCTGGCATTACAGAACAATCAAACTTGAGTAGGATGATGTGTTTACAGTAACATTTACTACCAATTATAGTACCTTTGTTAAACACATGAAGTTCAGTACATTCATTCAGCATAATTCCTGCACCACTATATTTGTGCCTTTCAATGATGATTATGGCAATATAAACAGTATCTTTAGCACAGATTGATATATGTTAAGAATCAAATGATTGAAGCAACTCATAAACAGACCTAATTGCAATTTGTTGTTCGAACTTTGTGGGTACGGCACAACTGAAAATAGGCTATATTATGAGCTTTAGAAAAAAAAAATCTTTTGTGGTTTGATCTATAGCATGGCTTTTTACTTTAAAAAGACCTTTAAATGCAGCAGAAAATGTTTGTAATTCAAATTAAACATTGCTGGAGTAAGTAAGGAAGGTATTTTTGCCTGTGTCAGTGTCTATTGAAAAGTTTCAGTATATTAATTAACTGTATACAGGTTCTTACACATCTGGAAAGTTAGGGAAAATTCAGAAAAGTTGGATTTTCATTAGTTTGGAAAAAGTCAGGGAATTTATCTCCTTGGCTACACCTTGTTGATTTTTTTTTTGCTCACAGTAAGGTAGACCAAGTGTAGCCGTCTGTAGGCAGTAAGAAAGTAATGTGGTACAATACAACTTATAAAAAGGCATGCAGAATATTTTCAGGACCCAAAATTTCCCCAAAAATTTGCACACAAAATAACGATACTTTATGAACCGATTAATAACACTGTTCTGCAAAAAAAAACTTTTTTTCTATTTCTGAAAAAATACATTGTGTTCCTAGTTGTACTTCAAGCACTGAATTCAAACCTGTTTTTAGTTTTTTTCTGTCAGGGATAGTTTATGAGTAATCACAATTTTATTTTTTCTTTATGTTTCTGATATAGTGCAGGACACATTAGCTGAAATTCAAGAAAAAAATCAGTTTTTTTATGATGTTATTAAGTTCATCATATTAAGGGAGGTTGGGATCTAACATATAACATATACATCTTAGTGTATTTGCTTTGTAGCATTTATTTCACATGAGCAATTACAGAAAATTGACAAAAATGAGCCACCATATAGATGTAATGCCCAAAAGTAAATGATTATTTTTATTTTTAGTATAGATAGTAATCAATGTACTTTTTGACATTCAAAAATGCAAAATTTATTTTCGGAATGAATTTTTATAAGGCTCAAAAATTTTGATTAAGGATATGAACTTCAACTTTGTCTAACTTCTAATACACTCCTTTATATTTAGTTAAAATAATTTAATTTAAAATAAGTTAATAGCTAAAAAGCTAATAGGAAAAATTACATACATTTACTAAATTGTAAATGTATGTAATTTTTAATAATTTAATAAATTTAATAATTAAAAATAATTTTTAAAATAATTTCATTAAAACATTATAATTTTTTGAAATTACTTGAAATTTTAAAATACCATAATCTAGATCTGGGCCATGGTAATTAATATAGGCTTCTTTACTTGCTTAGCCCCATCAATGTCTTAGTAGATAAAACACTCGTAGTTGGCTGCAGGTTCCATCTCACCAATGGGCTGGCCACATGAAGTTTTTCAGGTTTTCTACACAAATCTAACACCTAAATAGTCAGTTTCCTGTAGAAAGTCTTCTTGGGAAGCATCTCTTGCAAAATTTTCAGATGTTGCATTGCCTTCTCTCATAAATCTATCCATTCTGAGATACTTAACTGCTTTCTTTATTTGACATCCTTAAAAATCACTGCAAACACTGAAAATTTTTGCAGTGTGTAGTGTGCCAAATAGTAGAAATTTTCATGTCCAGGTGATTGAGATAATTCAGATAGCAGATTTCTCTACAATGTGTGGTTTGCATATCTCCGTGGGTCTAGACCAGGGGTCGCCAAAGTGGTCGATATTGACCCCCAGGGGTTGATGCAACATCATTGGGGGTCGATGCGGCTAAAGGGTCACAACCTTTTTTTTTTTTTTTTTTTTTCTGTTTGCTCATACACTTACACTTGTAATAAAACTTTATGGTGGGGCTCAATGTGAGGTTTTGGAAAGTGGTTGGGGGTCGACGGTTAAAAAAGTTTGCCGACCCCTGGTCTAGACAAATACATTGATAGCAAACTATTCAACTATTGATAGGTAAATGGCACTTTAAAATTTATTGAATACATCAACCAGAAGGTAAAGTTTGAGAAACACTAGGTTAATTGTAAAGAATGCACAAGTGCTATTCATCAATTTTTATTTTTGATTCTATACTTAAAGACCAAGTCTATAAACAGTTTTTTAAACTTTGCAAACTATCAATGAGTTAATTTTAATTTTAACAAAAAAATATAAATACAGTAGACCCCTATAACGCTTAGATACGTTCCACATTAATCGAATTTTACGTTGTAGGAATCATTAAATACATGAGCCAATCGCAGCCCGATAGGCGTGAAGATTACGGACTAAGGCTGTTTGAAAGGTTTTCTTCTATAAAATTAACTGATTCTAGACTAATTTCACTCAACATTTCCAAAACACGTATGATTTTTTGGGAATAATCTGTATAAACTATGCTATAAACAAAAAATTGTAGGATTACTTACCGAGTGTGCACCGTTCGACTACGCCGTTGCTCAAAGCTTGTTTTTGTCGCGGAACAGCACATGAAACAGTGGCTGTGATTTCTGATAACGAATTTTTCGCAGAAAAATAACTTGACCTTTGGAGACATCATTAATATAAATAATTTTTATGGCCATTGAATAAGAAATGTTTCTTTCACAAGAAATGTGTAAAATTAGTGCTGTATTAGACTTACGGTACCTAATTTACATACTGTACAGGCGATAATAAACTCAANTCTCTTCTCAAAAAAAAAAAAAAAAAATTTCTTACCCAACTCCTTACTACATCCCAAATGACATCGCTAGGTGCATCGGTTTTCAGAGACTGTTTACAGGCATGTGAAAGAGAGACTTTATATCCCGCATTCAGTATTGCCGATCTAAGGATTTAAACACAAAATTTCTTAATATTAACAAATGTTAATTTGGCATCTAAAACTTAAGGACAAACACGAGATTGGAAGAATACACAGCATAATTTGGTTAAATAACTTTGAGGAAATGTGTGCTACCAAACAACATGGTGTAGAAACAAATATGCATTTGTAATTGGACTTTATTGGATAGCATTTGAGAAAACGTAAAACAGATGGATGCATTAAAAGTGCTACAATTGGGAGTTGTTTAATTATCTCTGTGTCTGTACTGTTAGTTTTGTCCCATTTCTTATGGCCAAAGCACATTATCTAAATGATTTTATACATATGGTTCCAACTCAAATTAAAACAAAAATTTGAGTTAAAACCATGTGTATAAAATCATTTCAATGATGTGTTTCGGCCATGACTTCTCCCGACCAACTTTGTACAAATTCCCCAACCCTCACATCCCTTACAGTAATGAACATTGACAAAATAAAACAGTATACAACTTACTATGAAAATGTACTACTATTTCTTTGACTTTTTAATTAGTTATTTTTTCTAATTAACAGTTACATAATTTTTATAATTGCTAAATAATTTTAATTATTTAGCAATTATAAAAATTATGTAACTGTTAATTAGAAAAAATAACTAATTAAAAAGTCAAAGAAATAGTAGTACATTTTCATAGTAAGTTGTATACTGTTTTATTTTGTCAATGTTCATTACTGTAAGGGATGTGAGGGTTGGGGAATTTGTACAAAGTTGGTCGGGAGAAGTCATGGCCGAAACACATCATTGAAATGATTTTATACACATGGTTTTAACTCAAATTTTTGTTTTAATTTGAGTTGGAACCATATGTATAAAATCATTTAGATAATGTGCTTTGGCCATAAGAAATGGGACAAAACTAACAGTACAGACACAGAGATAATTAAACAACTCCCAATTGTAGCACTTTTAATGCATCCATCTGTTTTACGTTTTCTCAAATGCTATCCAATAAAGTCCAATTACAAATGCATATTTGTTTCTACACCATGTTGTTTGGTAGCACACATTTCCTCAAAGTTATTTAACCAAATTATGCTGTGTATTCTTCCAATCTCGTGTTTGTCCTTAAGTTTTAGATGCCAAATTAACATTTGTTAATATTAAGAAATTTTGTGTTTAAATCCTTAGATCGGCAATACTGAATGCGGGATATAAAGTCTCTCTTTCACATGCCTGTAAACAGTCTCTGAAAACCGATGCACCTAGCGATGTCATTTGGGATGTAGTAAGGAGTTGGGTAAGAAATTTTTTTTTTTTTTTTTTAGAAATTTCAAAATGATGTTTTTGTGCAACTGTATTGCTTGCAAATTTGTAAATTCCAGTTTTGCTTTGGAATTCATTGGCATGGAATTTATGTTTGTAACTTGCACTTTATTTTCTTATTTGTCTTACTGTATTTTTTACATCAGTTTGCTTATCCTCAGTATCCAATAAACTTGAATTCTCTTTTGCCTCCAATATAGAAATTATTTTTACTACAGATGTCTGATTAAACGATACAAATCTCCAGTTAGTCACATTACAGGAATGTGCTACTATTTTCAGCCCATAAAAGTTTTATGCTTTATTGGTTCTGGATATAACCTCCTTCCCGTTCCTTTGTATAACTAAAATCAATTTGCAATGTATTTTGATTAAAAAAAAGCAATATTAATGCATACTTTTGTGTCAATTTGATGCAAGTATATGCAAAATGTTAACTTAAAAATTAAGATGAGTAACACAGACTAACTTAATTTCATAAGATTATATTTATAGCATGGTTAACACCACGTAAAGACTCATTACAGATTACAATTTGGCACATTTAATGTTACACATTAATCTTCAAAGTTCTCGGTTTTTATGGACAATATTAACCACATCCACGGATCAAGGTTGTTACACATTTTATTTATTTTGAGGAAGAGACATTGTGCCAATAAGAACAGAAGAGGCACTTCTAATAGCTACGAGGAAATGTCCCCTTCTCAAAATAAAGAAAATGTGTAATGACCTTGATCCGTGGTCATGGATAATATCCACTAAAAAGTGAGAATTTTGATGATTTAACACAAATCATTAAATAATAATATATTGAATGCACTCATGATGAGCTTTGTGTTGTTAGCTAATCTATAAGATAGATGCAGTCTTATGTAATTAAGTTATAGCCATTCACTATAACTTCATACATGCTTCCACAAGAAGTAGTTTGCAAAAACAATACTTTTTCTTAACTGTTATCTTAAAAACATTTTACTTTCACATTGTGTTGACAGTTATTTGAATGTGTTTTTAATGAAATATGGCAAGCAAAAGTGTTTTAAATGTCAAAACACATTTACTATTTTATAAATGAGTTGTCGCATTACGAGATCTCGGCTTGACAGAATAGAAAGAATTTTGAAATTGATATCAAAATAAATTATTATTCTCAAACACTTGAAATACTATGAATGGTTCTTTGTTTAATTTGTTTATAACCAAAATACGGTTTTGATTTTTAAAAATGGGAGTTAAATTATTGAAATTCTGTGCCGTTATAGAAATTTTATTATTTGAAATGTTCACAGGTAAAATTACATCCTGTGAAACGAGATCTCAAGAATACTCCAGGAGAGGTTATACTAAAGAAGGAAATCAGGTACCAAAGACTCATTTTTTCTGATTTTTATATAAATGATATTGATATTAAAAATAAATTGCCAGGACGAATTCACAAGAAGAAAAAAAATATATTTCCTTTAGGACTATACATATAATTGAGTCCGTCTTCATTTGTCCTTTCACACGCTTGGCAGAGGCAATAACAAATTTACGGCGATACCGACCTTTTATTTGAGGCTACATGTTCGCCGTCCAATGTAAATGAGTTAAAAAGTCCTCTAGCGGTGGCCAGTACTATTATTAAATAAATAAATACATTAAAAATAAATTGCCAGGACATGTATTTAATGTATTTATTTATTTAATAATAGTACTGGCCACCGCTAGAGGACTTTTTAACTCATTTACATTGGACAGCGAACATGTAGCTTCAAATAAAAGGTCAGTATCGCCGTAAATTTGTTATTGCCTCTGCCAAGCGTGTGAAAGGACAAATGAAGACGGACTCAATTATATGTATAGTCCTAAAGGAAATATATTTTTTTCTTCTTGATATTGATATTGTTTAAAGTTATGGTAAGAGGAATATTTTTGAAGGTGGCTAAAGTTCCCCGATAGGTTGTAAACATCCTTTACCAAATGAGGATGATGTGCTCTGTTAGTGTGGAGATAAAAATAAGTTTGTATTTATGTCAAAATCTGTGGGCATTGGCAATGACTGCTTTTCCTCATAGATTAAAACTGGCAGTTATCTAAAGACATGTTGCAAATTAGTGTATTTTTGTCATCTACAGAACTATTTTGTCATAAATATGAACTTGTTTTTATTAAAGTTTATTACCGTATATACTCAAGTAATAGTTGACCCCCTAATTTTGTACAAAAAGTCTGGAATTTTCTATAGACTCCATGTAAAAGTTGACACTGGTATTTCATGGACAGCAGGTCAACATTTGGCAGAATTTTTTCCATTGAAAGCACTGCAAGTGCATCTAGTTTATCAGGATAAGTATATAAATTTTCACTAAAACAACCTACTGAATAGAAAGGAATTATGGCTGGCAGCAGTGGTTTTGGCACATGGTCATGCAAAATGTCAGCACCAGGTACTGCCAGTGCAAATGCGTACATAAATCTTTCATGTATGTTATTGATGTATGGCTGATGGTACTAAATTAAAACCAATGGTGTTTTGAAGGGAAAAAGGATGGTTAGATGGATGAAGGTGGATGTAGAAAATGGATAAAGGAAGTTTGGAATTTACAACCCAGTAACTATGAAAGGAAAGGAGTTTGCTCATGTGCGATCAGTTTAGAGCATGTCTGGTGAAGAAAGTTGTTGATAACCTCCAGTCACAAAATACTGATGTAGCTGTAATTCTCGGCAGACTTACAAGTGTTTTCCAATCACTAGATGTTAATATCAATAAGCCATTTTGGGACATGATGAGAATCAAGTGGAGTAGCTGAATGCGTGATGAATAAAAAACATATATGAAGGTAGGCAGCATGTGGATTCCATCACTGCATTTGATCTGTGAATGGACCTTTGATTTGTGGAAGGAAATAAAAGTTGACACTGTTGTAAAATCATTTGAAAAATGTGGAATTTTGAATTCTCTGGATAGTATAGAAGACGATTGTCTATGGGATGACAGAAGAAGGATGAAGATGAAGAAGTGGATGATGGCATACCTCTAACTATGGACAACAAAGATGAAGATTAAGAAAAACCTGATGATTATGGAGCTTTATTTGCTGCTGCTTAAGATAATGAACAGTGTGATTTTTTAGGGTTTTAATGAACTTTTGTTTGTGAAATGTTTAAAATGTACTATGTACCGTAATTGTAATTTAAAGCTGTATTAAATTTCTACTTCATTTTTTGTCTGCATAAACAAAAAGTTCATTATGGTAATTTATTGGTTTTTATTGTCATTATTAATTATTTTGATATTTGTTTTATATTTTGTGACCTTGAGCTACATTGAATTTATGATGATAAAAATGCAACAAAGAAATTGGTCCGGTAGTCCCTAATCCAGCCACAAAGAAAACACTACTTAGAGATCAGTTGAGCTTCTGCTACTGATTTGGTATTTTGGATTCTAACTTGAATTTCTGCCCCTCAAAAGTAGTATCCACATAATAGTTGACCCCATAATTTGACCTTTAAAAACAGTCTAAAAACTTCACCTTTTAAATGAGTATATACAGTATATAGAAGGTGCATAGTAAATTCCTTACATACCAAATTTTCAAATATTGAAATTATTTATAATTTTTAATTACTATTACACATATTGCAGGACAGAGATAAGTTTTAAGCTTCATCCAGATGCAAATCCTGCATCTCGCCTGCAGAATCTCTGCAGGTTCCAAGTCAATCCTCATCCTCATTGGGGGCCAAAAATGAGAGCTAAAACTAGGTTTGATAATATTAATATTATTATTATTCCATACTTTGTAGAAATAATTTATATCCATGTAATGTATTTTCATAGCTTATGGGCAGACAAACAGGTAGAAAAGCAGAAAAGATTCCAAGGAAAGAGGAAAAGATCTATAGAAAAAGGAAAAGATTTGAAAATATATCCTTGCAGGAAATTTATGAAGGTTTGTTTATTAAATTATGTATTTATATATGGAATACTGATAATTTTAAAGTATGGTGTGTTCTCCTTGAGCTTCCCTGTTCTATAAACCCATTTGTTCAGATAACGTAAATAAAATGTGTTGTGGAATGTTGGTTAATACTCTGAGTTTCACATAAGTGTGCTTGAAAGAGCTGCCATGGCTGCATGGTGGCAATCCAGACCTCCACCGCCACAGTCCAGATTGCCCAGGCCCCATTTTTGGTCCACCCAATCACTTGGCATTATCTCTTTGAACTTTTTTATTTCGTGGGCACCTAGAGGATTGTGTGTATGCTGCAAAAGTATCAAGCTCCGTCGCTCGCCTCTCGGTCACGCTATTACGGCCCAACTAAGCCTGCAATAGGCCCAGAAAAGACTCTCTTGGTGTCCTCTGGGCAGAAAGTAAATGAAAAACTAATGAGTATTATTTTATGGCACATCTATTATTACAATGTTTTAAATAGATGATTATCAATCTCTTTAAATGTCACTAGAATAGATTGCATTTATTTTACATGCAACTGCTCCAGAAGATTTTTCTTTCATACAATATTGTTATGTCATGTAATCGTTTCTTGTATGAAAGCTTCAGACATAAAAGATGGCAAGTACTACTCTCATTAGTTATAATGTGTGCTAATTGTTGAACAGCTGTGTATTTCAATTTAAACATTACAAGTTCTTTTTAATTTTGATTAAAGCAGCGTTTCTCAAAGTGGGCTTGTGGGCGCTGGAGGCTTTCAGGGGGGCAGTAGAAGGCTCAAAGAGAATTGGGGGGGCGTTAAGGAAATATAGAGGGGCGACGGCAGACAAATTCTATATATAAAAATTCGACGGAATATATATAAAATGTTGACATTTTATATATTTTTTATTTTTTATTGAAGGTCACAACTTGAATATTTCTAACACATTGACTTTTATTTTAGCTCAGCATTTCTCAAAGTAAGCAATAACGCCCCCTTCTTGGCGATGAATAGATCTAGGGGCGCTGGAGGCAGGGTATTGAACGGTGATTAAACGTAAAATTGGGGATGATCAGAGGAAACATTGCATTTAATGGTTTCCAGATGATGAGAACAATGTAAAGTAAGGGCACAAAGTGTGAGATTCATAGAAAAGTTTTCCTAAGAATATTTCCAATCCTTTTCTCACACAAGAGAAAATGGGTTAGGGGGCGTTGGGTATAACTTTATGGAACAAAGGGGGGGGTGGATCGAAAAAGTTTGAGAATCACTGGATTAAAGTAAACGAAGCAGAAAACTTCTTAAGACATTTAATTTTCTGTTTTCTCTAATTTTTTATTAAGGCACTTGTCAAGGCTTTCATGCCCGAACCCTTCATATGTAAATGGTCGAACCAAAACTTTTATAAGAACCAAATCCCTAAATTCAAAAGTATTACACATTCTATAAAGAATGATACACAAACGATAATGGTTGTTCAGTTCTTTTAGTCATCCAGATAATTCTTTTATCTTAAATTGGAAAGTTGATAAAGTAATTTCAGATTTTCTCTTTATTCAAAGTAAATTAGAACATTTTTTCTCCACGGTATATTTATAAAAATAATAATTTATTTTTCAGGGCGAATGTCAGTTGGGGGATGACTGTCGGTATTCACACAAAACAGCCGAAAATGCATCCGAAAGCAAAGGAACTTGACCATGGTGTATTAAAATGTATTATTTATTGTATAATCTTGTAAAATAAACTTTGATATATTAATGTTATCTCGACCGGAATTCTAATTTTTAACCATTACGCTCTCGAAATTAGTTGTATAACAATGCCATAAGAAATTATAATGGCACAAAACATCAACTTTCAATTGGGATACTCACAATTCATTCTGGGCAAGTTTTTGCTTGCAATTAGTAAAACCAAGATTAATGTTGTGACCTTGTGACATTGTTACAGTTTAGATAGAAGGATGTTCCTTGCCCTATCTAAAAACACTAATGACTTCATTTTGAATGAAGTTGAGAGTTAGAAGTTAACTAATTATCATTTTTTTAACGTTTAGTATGTGAATGCACCATTGGCATTGCGCGGGTGTTAACACATGCGCAATCCCATTGGCACAATGGGTGACGAGGTATCTTCGTTCATATCCAATTCTTAAGAATAGGATACACACGAAAGATATGCTGGATACTTAAACATTGGAGATTCTGGCATAAAACAGTACCGCACTTCTCTGGTATGTTGGGATAACCTTACACACCCCATTGTCTCAAGCACATCACACAAGGAGATTCTGTATGTGCTCCTCCCCTTTTGAAACATCCCTGGAATGGAATATGTTATTGAGGATTGTTGATTTGAGGAGGATATGTTATTGAAGTCCACGAGGAATACTAATACGTTAATATTGAATTTATATTAACGTGATATATTTTGTAAAAAAACTGAAAACTAAGTACATAAAGTTCTCAATTCTTAATAACATTTTCTAAAAAGAAAATTTGTAATAACATTTTCTAAAAAGAAAATGTTATTACAAATTGACGTTACGTACTTAGTTTTTGCTAATGTGATTAAATCACAGATTATTTTTTAATTGCCTGTGATTTAATCACATTAGCGACCCGTGATCACTAGTATCGATCACGTGATTAATATTCGTGTCCTACCAACTCATTTTTAGCAGGTGAGATTGGGCAGGCGAGGAAATGTCATTAGGGGAGGGGCCCGTATTGTATCTCCTTAGAGCGGTAGTCGCCTTTCTGATCAATTACCAAATGTTACAAAATCGAATGTGTTCGATCATTTTCCTCACATCATACCTGTAACAGTAACTTTAAGGTAGGAAACCGGCAACGGAATGTGCGCATTCCCTTTGGTAAACTTGTTACGCCACGTATCAAAATCGCGGATATGTAATCACAGTAGCGATTTGTTTCTGTGATTGCAGAATCTGGAATCGTTCGTGACTAAAAAGTAGCCGATCGATTGAGAGACCGTGTTATAAAAACCGCGTTTTCAGTGTTACGTGAGTTTTTACGTCATTCAGAAGCAGTGGTTTAGCGAACATAACTTGCGCCCCCCTCCAGAAACAAATCTTGTTTGTCTTGGAGACCACTTGGCGCCCCTCTGCGAGTGGTACCCGGGGCATGATAGATCCCTTGCCCCCTCGCTACGCTAGTGTTCAGAAGCTACTCTTATCGTCGCGAGACGCGTTTGAACACGGCCCGATTGCACTCCCATAATCCGGTTTCGTGCACGCTCGCTAAAATATGATTTCGGAACGAATTTTAATTAATTAAGAAAGAATTACTTTTGGACTTATTTAAAATAGCAATCTTAACGGCATCGAATTTTTAAGTAAAATAAAATTTTAATCGTAAAATCTGCAAAAAAAAATTTGTAATTCGTATTCTTGCCGTTTCGGCGCTTCGAGCGTCGATCATGTGTATCGGTTGCCTCCGTAAGTGTTCGAGCGCGAAGAGAAGGTAAGTTGTTTAAAACATTTTTATTAATTTATAAGTTTAGAACGAAAGACTGATTTAAAGAAGTATAGAATTATTTTTATTCTTTATTCTCTTCGTAATTAATTGTCTGCATAGTAAAATGCGCCTCCAATTAATCGCTTTATCGTCTTCTCCTTGACGACGACGCGACGCGATCCGCGTCGCTTCCCTCGACGCCATTCGAAAGTGTCACCCTGTCGCGACGTTGTCCTCTTTTGTTCCGCTATTCGAATCATTGAATATTTAACTATGCGAATTGATTTTTTAAAAATAACGCTGGTTATGCTGTTCGCGCGCCACGCGTTCCAGAGCGAATTAAAGAGAAGATGAAGTGATGCGCCCGCGCTAATTATAATGGTGAATTTTAAGTGTTTACTACCTAGTAGGTAGTTACGGCCGGTGCAACAGATACTTAAATTATTTAAAAGTTACAAGCTGTTTTTACATTTTATACAAGGTCTGTTCAAAAAGTATAGGACCTTTGGTCGGCAAAAATAAATTTATTGACTTTGAGGTACAAAACCCTAATCCCCTTCAAAGTAGTCTCCTAGGTAATGTATACACTTCTCCCAGCGTTCCTGCCATTGCTGGAAACACTGCTGGAACGCATCTTTTGGAATGGCCATCAGCCGGTCCGTCGGATTCCGCACGATGTCTTCTCTCGACTAAATTCGGGTTTCTTTTAGCAGCATTTTCAGCTTGGGAAATAGCCAAAGGTCACACGGAGCCATGTGGAGAGAGTACGGAGCATGACAAACCACAGGAGTATTGTGTTTGGCAACGAAAGCCCTAATCAGATGCGCAGAATGGGCGGATGCGTTATCACGATGGAGCTGCCAAGTTTTGATTGACCACAGATCCGGTCGTTTGCGTTGCACTGTATCGGAAAGACGACGAAGGACCTCCTGGTAGTACTCCTTTGCGATGGTTTGGCCTTGTGGTGCATACTCACGACACACCACCCCACGAGAGTCGAAAAAACTGTCAACATGACCTTTGATATTGCTGTGGACCTGCCGCGCTTTTTTTGGCCTCGAGGATTGTCCCCGAAAGCCTGCTTAATCTTGCGAATGGTTTATACTCGGGTATCGCCAAGGTTTTTGGCAAAATTTGATGTAATATCGCTGCTCACGTTCAGTCATTTTCCAGCTTAGTGGAATCCGACGAGAGTGCACTACATGACCTCACTCATAGGCCGATTGCCAACGACTGACGCTTCCTGCAGGCGGGAAAAAATTCAGGGCTGTGCATGACTGTCCCCTCCACAACTCCACCAAAGGAGTCACTCATAGGCCGATTGCCAACGACTGACGCTTCCTGCAGGCGGGAAAAAATTCAGGGCTGTGCATGACTGTCCCCTCCACAACTCCACCGAAGGAGGACTCTCGCGCATCATTGGTTTACGCGGAAAAAAAAAGGTCCGATACTTTTTGAACAGACCTTGTATATGCAAAAAGATAAATGATCGATAGTTTTTCTCTGGCGGTCATGGGCACTGGTTACTTTTTTCTAATTTTTCAAGATTTAGTTGCCTTTTGACATCTTTCTGATCGCAGACTTTTGCCAAATATCAAACCGCGTGATTTATGGGCTTACCCTATCTTGTTGTCAAAGATTTAGCTAGTGGCCAGACTTGCAAATTGTTCGTCATTCGATTTGCAAGTCCATGGAGATGCTCTTTTAGTTAAGACGACTTTGTACTGCCCTGGCATTTAATCAGAACGAGAGGTGACTGTTGTCTTTGTATCACTTTTTACTGATTTGCTACGAGAGGTAAGATTTTAGATAAGTTGACTAGATGCAAAACACAATGAACCCCTCAAATTTCACATTTTTTACTGTGGATCTGTCCCAAGGCTGCACGATTATAAAGTTGATGGATACTTGGAATAAAATCCGGAACAAACTGAGTTCTTCTCGACGATATTGCAATGGTCAACTCCAGGGAATGTAGGATGTGTACGAGAGAAGACCCAAAAATCTGGAATTTATTTATAAAAAAAATTGTGAATTTATTTTTGCGTGTTCCGACTTTAGTAATGTTCAAATTGCACAAAGTAAATGATTCCTCAGCAATTAGACAAAAAGAACTTGCAGATATTGGGACTTGCTGAATCCATACTGTTCATAAAGTATATTTGAAAGCATTACTGGAAGTTGGGGAGAATGCAATTGAAGTTGTGGTGCTTGTTCATTTCCTCATATTCTGCACATGATGAGTGACTATCATGTGCAGAAATTGAGGAAGTGCAAAGAAAAAAAGGGATTTTCTTTAAAAAAAAGTTCTTAAAGTGCACTTCAATACATTGGCTAACATTTGGGACTGCTGTAACATGCCCAACAGTCTATAGAAGACAATAACAAGATTTTCAAGGCAACCTTCTACAAAAGTAAGCTTGTTTTGTGCGAGTAGTGTTGAAATATTTGTGAAGCCCATGGGGCATTTCCAGAGTGACGAACCCATAATTTGTGTCTTACATTTAGAGTTATTCTCTTGCAACTGCTACTTGGTCAAATGTGATTGTAGATACTTGTAATTCTGCAAAAATTGACATTATTGATGAAGCAGCCTTTTTCATTTATACAGATCTTCCTTTGAATGAAATTGTGTGCAGTAAAGAGCCAAGGAGTGAAATAGAAAAATAAAAGAGGGATGCAAAACATTTTCTCCTTAAGTGGAAACATTACATATTGGCATGCAAGCACATATTGCAGAATACACCACTCATAAGCAAATGTGAGATCCCGGGCTAGAGTTTTTATAAAAAGAATAGTATTTTGATGATTATTTTAAATAAATGACCATAAGAGATAAAATTTTAAAGAAGAGATGAGGAAATAACAAGATGATGATAAAGATAACTCTTCCTTTGTAACCACAACTCTTCTAGAGATGGTTACTCAATGCAGGAAGTAGTGAAGGAAAATTCTGATCAGTTAATAAAAATTCATGTTTTGTCAACATTAGTGCTATTTAAAGTATATTTTCATATTGGATTTTAATAAGCCAAGAGCTTATTTTTTTAATTTGTGAATTTTTATATTAACAATATCATAAATAACTCTAGACTTTATTTTTAAATCTCAAACAATAAACTTTATTATGACAAATATATACGAGCTTTGTAAAGTTGTTAAAGCATAATTTGTAAATTTATATTTAATAATGGCCCTTTATTTTAATCTTTTAATTAAAATTCAAAAATTTTTCAGAAATAATGTTGCGTATTGGATTTTTCCACTTATCTATATGTAGAAACATTAATATAAATAATTAGTTTATATAAAAGTAATTAATAGACAAATATAAAATTATATATTGCAAAAATAACTGGGACAAATCATAAAATTAACTTATAAGAAAATCAGTGTAATGGAATGAAGTGTTTCAATAATTCAAATGTTTGTCTGTCTCTCACTATTAGCATTCTGCATTTCTAAGCATTCTGTTAACATTATTATAAAATAAAAATTTACATTTATGTCACAAACTCGTTTTTTAAATATATAACAATTCACATTCTTATATATAACAGACTAAAATAGATCTACATTAAACTCTGTACACAGTATATTTCAATTCAGTATTAGTTATTTTAATATTTATTATGACCAAGACAACACCTTTCTCACTTGTTTCAAGCCGTGTATAAACGGCTAGAAACAAGTGAGAAAGGTGTTGTCTTGGTCACCTGAAAATAGTTCTAGCTACAAATGCATAGAAATGTTTATTACCAAATACAATAAGCACACTTCTGTTGTATCTTTCAAAAAAATTAAAACTTATTTTTACAATTTTAATAAATAAGTTTTAATTTCTTGGAGAAGTATCAATACATTCTATGTCTAACTTCTGTGTATCATGTAATATATTTTAATTCTCAAAAGCCTTATTTTTGACTTTGCTTCTAACAAACCTTTTCTTCATATAATCTTAGAATTTGTTAAAATTTGTATGTAAAGTAATATATATTCAATTTGTGCGACTGTAATATAAAAAGAAACCAAGTATTGTACTTGTGTTATCAATTAACGTCTTATCGAGAAGAAACAGGTAGACTATAAACTTTCATATTAAAATTTATATTTTGGCCTATATGTTCTCGATAGGACATTACTTGAGCAACATTGTTAATTGAAAATATGTATTTTTTTTTTTTAATTAAAGTATTATACAATGCCCAAACTCTTTATATTATTTTCATAAAGTAAATATGTAAGATTACTATATTAATTTTCATGAAGACACAATAAAACTTTATTTCTCTATCACTTGGAAACTGTTGAAACTGGCAGTTTGAAGCACTCGTTCTTCTATGTCATGAGACCAGTTGTGATTTCGGGTTTGGATCTATAGATATCTACGTGGCCATGGTCCAGTCCCTGTTAACAGTCTAGTTCCTGATGGTTTTTGTCTAATTCGAGCCAATTGTCCCAGTCAATTGCCATCATTCAACTGTCTGGATGGTGCCTCGACTGACTAAACTGTTTGTAGTCTTACTCACTGCCCAAACTATAATAATTGCCATTTTCCCAGCTTCTGACGCTTCTAAACTAGGTCTGATACTAGAAGATTTCCTTCAGAAGACCCTGCCTGTCAAAGAGTTAATTTTACCTGCACATGATCAATCGTGAACTATCTCTCTCTTGCAATCAGGACCTAAATAATAAGGTGGTGGTAGTAGTAGTAGTGGTAGTAGTAGTAGTAGTAGTAGTTCAATGGTGGTATTGGGTTGTTTGGAAAGAAATTTCATTTGTTTTTACCACTAGACGGATTAGTCGTATTTTTCCTGCCATTTTCATTCTAAATCATATTATCATTATATATTTTGACAACAAGCATTTTAAGGCTTATTTGTAAAAAATTTTGTTTGATTTTGTGCAATAGTTTATTTTTTGTGTATCATCAAATATGGAAAATCGAAAGCAGCATTTTCGACATATTTTTCTCTTTTATTACCGAAAAGGTAAGAATGCTGTTC